GTGTCGACAAGTCTCTACCAGTGTAGACTGTGTCATACCTGACGAACACCGGAGAGCCATGGTTCGGAATCTTTTGACGAAGGCTTTGACGGATTCCCTCTTCTTCTGCTTAGTAGCGAGAAGGGTATGGATGGAGACTTCCGTATCCTCTTCAAAGAATCTCGACAGGAAGAGTCTCTCTAAATCTGCCCACCTTTGGATACATCCGACAGGTAGTTTCCTGAACCATTCAAAGGCAACTCCCTTAAGGGTGCCAATGAACAATCGAGCCAGTATGGCATCGTTGGATATTACATTCCCAGTCTGTGACTTGAAATAATAAATATGTTGGTTCGGTGATCCCATGCCATCAAAAGTTTGTAGCGTCGGGACTTCAAATTTTGGAGGATAAGGGGCTGCGTCCCATTCGGCAGGGTAGGGCCTGACAACTCCCTCATCTTGGAGCTCGCTTCTGTTAGCAATGACATTGAGGCGGGCTTCCAATTCCTTGATTTTAGTCGACTAAGGATTTTGCTCATATTCTGTCTCTCTTCCTTCATCAGAGGAAGATTCCAGGTTGTGGGCTTCTTGGTCAGAAGCCGTGTCATCAACCATTTTTCCCTTCCCTTTACTTGTGTGAGGTCGGGACGAAGACGTCTTTCCTCTCCGGGAGAGTTCTTGCCTAGGTGGCGAATCTGTCTTCTGAGATTTGGCCTTGTCTGCGACGAGTTGAGTCAACAGGGCCAGGAGTTCATTGATGGCCTCTTGCTGAGATTTGAGCATGGCCTCCTGCTCATCAAGTCTCTTCGCGAGATCTTCATGGAACAAAAGAGCTTGATGACTGGGACTCTGCAATGGCTGAGTGTTCATCATCGGAATTGGTTCCTCTGGCCAAACTCCGATAGTTGACAGGGGGAATAGCTCCTGTTCGCGTCCGAGTGCGTTGGTAGATTCCTTCAAACTCGTTAGCGATTTCTCTGACGGTCGGCGAACGACTTGTCTCAGAGTCATCAGAACTAGGACCTGAGAATGGCCGAGTGTTCATCATCGGAATTGGTTCCTCTGGCCAAACTCCGATAGTTGACAGGGGGAATAGCTCCTGTTCGCGTCCGAGTGCGTTGGTAGATTCCTTCAAACTCGTTAGCGATTTCTCTGACGGTCGGTGAACGACTTGCCTCAGAGTCATCCGAACTAGGACCTGAGGCTTTCCAGCATTGGCGTCCCGAGAGGACCGTAGGAATCAGTCGTTCACATTGAAATGAACGAATGACTTGTTGCATCGATCTTTCTCTCGATGTGAACTCTCTCGAATCTGTTATAAAGATTCGAGGAGAATTACTCACTGATTGTGAGGTTTGAACTGGAACCCCCAGTCCATGATTGGACAGGACTGGCTCTTGGTGAATATGGATCTGATTGAGATGCCTTGAATCCATAAACTTCTTATATCCGCCCCTCAACCTAGTCGCGCTACGCAGAGTATTCGCGGTATTGGATTTGGAACTTGGGACGCGAGGGTCGCGTTTGGCACTTGATACACGAAGGTCGCGTTTGGCACTTGAAACGCGAAGGTCGCGTTTGGGAAATATAAAAATTCTTATTAAAAGAAGATAATTCTTTTGGAACCCAAATAGAAAAGAATTTTGATTTCTTTTTATACAAATTTTCATATTTATAATCATGCAAATCACAAGAAGGTTTTACAAAAATTGTATTCTTTGATTTGTTTTTATTAATTTGAAAACCTAATCCTTTTGTCTTTTGTGATTCTCTTTGAAAAGAAAGAATATTATTAAGATTTTCTTTTCCTTTATTAAATTTGCTTACATTTAAACATATATCTTCATATCTTGATTTAAAAGAAGAAATATCTTTATCTAAACTATTAATTCGAATATTTAACTTATTACATTCTGATTTTAAATATTTATTTTCATTAGATAAATTATCATTTTCTTTTAGTAAAGAAAAATTTTCTTCTTTTAATTCAACTAATTGAGAATTAGTATAAGTAGAGGAATTTAAATCTGAAATTTCTTCACGTAACCTTTTATTCTCACCTTTAAGAAAATTATGTGAAATTTTTAATCTTATAAAAGTTTCATATAATTCATTAAAAGCATCTAAAAGCTCTTCATTTTCACTTACATCATCTTGTGCCATGAAACACATGTGAGCACTTTCCTTTTCTTCAATTTCTTCATCTGAGGATGATTCATCACTATCATCCCAAGTGACCGCCATTGCTTTCCTCTTCTTGTTATTTTGAATATTGTTGAAGTTGTTGAAATAACTTGATTTTTGTTTATTCTTCAACATTGGACAATCTTTCTTCATATGCCCTGGTTTATTACACTTAAAACAAAGAGGGTTAGTTGAATTTGAATTCTTAAATTTAAAATTACCTCTTTTGATGAATTTTCGAAATTTTCGTGCAAACATGCCCATTTCTTCATCATTATCATCTGAATCTTCTTTATCTGAAGTAGTATTAAATGCAAGAACTTTCTTGTTCTTAGATTCTTCATCATTCTTCCTATCTTCAAGTTGTACTTCATATGCCATAAGATTACCAATAAGATTTTCAACCGTAAGAGTTGACAAATCATTGGCTTCTTCAATAGCGGTAACTTTCTTTTCCCATTGTGGAGTAAGTGAACGAAGTATCTTTCTTACCATCTCCACTTGAGTATATGTTTTTCCAAGACCAATAAGAGAATTTGTGATGTCGGTGAATCTTGTGAACATTTCTCCAATAGTCTCATTTTCCTTCATCTTGAATAATTCAAATCTGTGCACAAGAACAGAAATTTTAGATTCTTTAACTTTAGTAGTACCTTCATGAGTTACCTCGAGTGTGTGCCAAATATCATATGCGGATGTGGCCGTTGACACCCTATTGAACTCATTCTTGTCAAGTGCACAAAATAAGGCATTCATTGCTTTAGAATCCAAATTCGCATTGTTCCTTTGAGATGTAGTCCATTCCGCGAAAGGAGTTGTTGGTTTCTCATATTTTGTTTCAACGACGTTCCAAAGTTCGTAGCCAAGAGATTGGAGATAGATCTTCATCCTACACTTCCAGTAGTTGTAGTTCGTGCCATCGAACATTGGAGGACGATTTGTAGAGTGACCTTCCTTGAATTGTGATGTATTTGACAATGCCATCTTTCACCTTGCTCTGATACCAAATGTAGGATCTGAAATAGATACACTTGAACACTAGAGGGGGGGTGAATAGTGTTCTTTTAAAATTATTGCAAAGTAGATAATAAATTGCAAAGAAAAAATGGCAATCTCAGAAATTTGCAAACACAAACACAAGGATTTTATACTGGTTCCACCAAACTGGTGTACATCCAGTCCCCAAGCAAATCCCGCTTGAGAGTTTTCACTATGATTTTGAATAAACTTACAAAATCAAATGCAAACCTGACCAATTTGCAAGTTCCTGCAAATTGCAACACCAATTGACAAACTCCTTGTCAATTTGAACACCAATCTCTAACCCAAGAGACTAACCCTCTCACAACCGAGAGAAAACTTGTTGAAGAAGAACACAATGATCCTATAAGCCTTGAATGTGTAATAATGTGCAGCAGTGGCTTAGGATTCTTTTAATCTTTGTAAAATTGCCTAATTGATTTGTTTTTGATGAAAGTATATAGGCAATTTCAGAAACTCTTCTTTTTCAGAAAATCAGAATGTTTTTCACTTAGGAAATTGCTCAAGAATCAAAGCTTATGGGTATGTATATTTTTCCAATTTTTCTGAACAAATAACCTATATATACCCCTTGAAAAGACAAGTTTTTAAAGTTTGAAAACGTTTAAAAACGGCCAAAAACTGTCAGATATTCAAATTCTGAAAACTGAAAAACTGTCTCTTGTAGTCGACTACTGTAGTCATTAGTCGACTACACTGAGTTCAGACAGACTCTGTGTTTTCGGAAAATGTTCTCAGTAGTCGACTATAATGATAATTAGTCGACTACACTGA